AACGACTTTGAATTTGCAACCTTTTTTAAATCATTCTTGCAGGTAAAGATAATCAATGAGAGATAATTTTAATCGAGAGATATGATTATAAGAAATTCCCTTTCATATTAACTATTTAATCTATTAAAATGGTCATCTGATTAGCTATCAATTGTCATCTTTACCTGATTATCATCAACTGCGTGAATGATTTGAAAAAGGTTGCAAACCCAAAGTCGTTGGCTGTATAATAAGATGTACACAAAGTACCGAGAATCAGTTCACACAGATCACTCAGTAGAACAAGTTAACTCTTACCTTAATATAACCCTTGTACCCTTTACGTGTATCTATCAAAGTTATTTCCTATCTAGTTGCGATTCGATTTCTTCCAACAATGATTTTCGTAAATGATTTTAAAATCTTGACAAGATCGAAATTTTCAAATGAATAATTCAATCTAATTAACGAGCTCTGAGAACTCTGAGTTCAAGATTTCTTGGCAATACATTTAAACCTGAATTCTCAATAACATAAACCAGTAGAACTGTTTTAGTCCAGTTTATGATTGATTAGTTAGACCATTTTTTTGTGGTTTTTCCTTAGTTCAATATGTTCATCCTGTTGACAATCGGTAAAAAGCTAAAGTCTAAATGGGTAATTAATTTAAAATTAGACTAAAGATATTCTTTAATTTTCTTTTGTATAGATGTTGGTTAGGAGATATTTCGAATTGAATAAGTTGATCAGCCTGATTACTTTTTGAACATTTAGACCTTCGTTTTGGTTTTGGTTTTCGAAGGACATTATCAACCTTATTTAGTATATCATTACATTTTATATACAAATAATTGTTTCCTTTATCAGAACTTTTTTTGCTTCCTTTTCGCTTTGATTATCAGAAGGACCTTTGAGACTTTTACCGTTTAGTTTTTATCATTATTATCAAGTGAGGATAATATTACTATTCGTGCAATGGTCAGTATTATGGTCAGTAAAATGATTGGAAGGATGATGATGATGATGATGCAATTTAATTAATGTTGGATCATTTTCTCTGTACGATTATCATATATTCATCAATGGAAAATTGCTTCTCCTAATATAATATCTTTTCTTATTTATATCTCATGAATATATTTTCTGATTAATTTTTCACAGAACAATTTCATTGATTATCCTTCCAATAAGGAAAAGTATTCCGGATTCAGGGAAAAGAAGATCATGATAGTTTGAATGATCGTTACAAAATCGTTGCCTGTATTCACATTGTTGAGAATGATGGAAAATTGTTGTCAGAATGAATTTAATTGTTGATTATTTGTCGATTTACACTCGGATAGATAAATATCTAGTTTAATCAAGTGCAAGGATGAGCAAGAATAGTCATAGTCAGTAGAGGCGGAATTGGAAAAGGATGAGGATGAAAAGAGAGAGAGAGAGAGAGAGAGAGAGATCAAAGAATCAACCTTATTTTTTAGGTTGAATGAATATGAGCATTTGTATAATTACTCGAGGCTGTCACATTCTTGAAGGAAAAAGATTTGTCTTTAAGGAATATGAGAACATGGAACATAAAAAATTTCTGAATCTCAATGAATTTTCAGGAAGAAGAAGAAGAAAAGTGGAAAGAAAATTTTTCCATGATAGATTTGATTCTTATCTCTCTACCATTCAATATCTTTCATGTATCTTCAGAATGATAATGATAGGATCACTTCAACTTCTGTACATTAATCTTTACGTTGTTATTTGAATTGTTTATGTTTGAATAAATATCCAAGTAATCAAAATTATCAATCGATACGAAACAATGAGACTATTTAACCTTTTTATCCCCTCACGAACTCATGATATGTAACTGAATAGTTGAGGAGGAAATGTAATCCACTAGAAGATGAAATGAGATTGATTAGAGTGACCATTGAATATAAAGGTCACTCTAAGTTTTTTGTTGATGAAAAGTGTTTTCTATTCATGATCTCAATCAGGGTTATTATTTGTTGGCTTATTAATCATGTCAGAATTAATTAGCCATAAATTGAAATGAAATAACAATTTAAATCAGTTGAGATTATTGTGATAAACTTTTTCACAGTTAATTAAAGTATCCAAAGTTGGATTGAATGAGCATTAAACATTAGAGTTAATTAGTTCAATTATTAATCATCTTGTTTTGAACATTTGAACACAACTTAAATGAAAATCAGTGGTTACATAAATCAGTAATTGTTAAAGATAAAAAATGAGATGGTAACCAGATTAGTAGCAGTTACTGGTTGATTAATTGTGGTTAAATAAATGTCACATCAACTTTGCGCTATTTTAGACTGATTGAAATCACAGAACTGAATATTATTACTGCAAAGAATTCAAACAAATTTTCATGATGAAATTTGAACAGAAAGTATCAGATTTTCCGATTCAGATGATCAGAGTTTTTTTGATGAATGAAATTGATGCATTTGTAATATAATCACAATTTCAGGATATTATCAACCATGACTATGATATGGATAACAATAAAAAAAGATAATGATTAAAAGGAAGATGAAACAATCATGATGTTACTCGAGTCAAGTTTCTTACCTGAGTTTTATATTGTCATCAGTCTAATTTCCTTTAAGATTAATGAGTCTGACATTTTATCTCAACATCTACAGAGAGATTGAGAGTAAAGGAAGATAATGATAAATCAACATTATCTTCACTGGGAGTGATTTCTATTCCTCTTGAACCAATGTTCAATTCATAAAATACAACATCTAAATATCACTTCTACTCATATGGTGATAAAAATAGTGATTTCATTGGAGAATTGATTTAAAAGTTTTTTTCACAAATTCAGCTCATAAAAATGTCACCAAATTATGGTTATGATAATTATTAGATGATAATTTTTACTATCGCTTCTATTTTTAAAAGTACTTGACATTTGACTAGATTTCTTGATTACCTTTACCATCATGTAACTCAATCTAATTTCAGAATTTCATCTTTGAGTAACTAACTTTTCTAAAAGTTCCTAACTTTATACACTGGATATTTCTCACTCTCTCTCTCTCTCTCTCTCTACTTTCATCATCTGCCCTTTTCCAATCACCATGAGCTTTACTCAGATTAGTTGAATTTCACCCATGAGATACATTAAGCTTCACTGTTCAATTATCATCGGTAAATTAATTTAAATTGAAAGAGATTCTAATGTCATCAACAATTTACCTGAAAATCACATAAACAAAAAGTAATAATAAAGAGACAACAAAGACAGAGGTTAAAAAAAGTTCATTGCATCCATTATAGTGAAAAGCCTCAATTTACATGGAAAGGGAAATGATATAAAAAGGAAGAGAAATAAGTTGAAAGAAAGTTCAGAATAATGATAATGAGGTGGATAATTGTTGCTCATTTTCATCTTTTATTTTCCTATTAAATAAATTGTAATCTAAGGAGGAGAAAAACCAGAAGCAAAAGAAAAAACTAATTTCATCACCTTTGCAACTCGAAAAAAGTTATCACCTGAATGGTAAATAATATAACAGAATTGAATAATCATTTTGAATACCCAAATATGATTGAATAAATTTACTTATATTTTAACTGGTTATGGAAAATTAAATAAGAAGAACATCATTCTACTATTAATAATAAGAAATTATCATGATTTCATTGAAATAGAAACTCATTATCAAAATAACCAATGAATTGTAATTTCCTGCTTTAAGAAAACTGAGAAAAGTTTTTTGCAGATTCGAGTTAGTATCATGTAAGGTTTTTTTGAGTTATTTGGATAAAAAGTGATACAGTTATCAGAAACGATACTTACTGGGTGATTGAGCTGGACCCTTCGGACTTTAAACTTTAATAACTTTTTTATTTCTTAGAATTTTTTTTGAATTTTATATCATTTGAAAGCTTTAAGTCTAAAATAGTTAATTAGGTAAAACTGTAATTTTTCAGTTCTGATTTATTGCAAAAAATCGAAATGATTGAACAAACGCACCTTCTTTCAACGGATAAAATCTTTAACAAAAGTGCTCAGCTACCTAGAGGTTGAATCGTTCAAAATTGATTTTAGCTCAAACAACTCAACACAAAAAAAATCAGAATATACATATTGTAGCCCATAAAACATTCTTTAACATGAATATTGATTTCAATTTTTGATCAAATTTTTACGAGTTCTACTGCATTTTTAGTGCAAAAAACTTGAAATAAGCACGATGTGAAAAAAGACTCTGTAAAAATAGTACCTTTAGATATTTTATTGATCTAAGTGGCCTAACTTATTTTCTAAATGTCAATTAATATCGTTTTTGAAACAAAAGACTGAATAAAATTCTATCAAAAAGTTATTCGAATTTAAAGTCCGAAGGGTCCAGTTCAATCACCCTGTATATCAGGCAACGAAAAACTTTTTTGAGACTTTGATTTGATGTTTTACCTGTTGAAATTGTTTAATGAATTAAGAGGTTCGAAAAGTGTTGGAATTGAAACGCATGAATGTACCAATGTACCTGTATGTTCATTTTATTAATAGTTTTCGTGATGATCTTACTCTTCATGTGTAGTAATTGAGTTAATTGAAAAATGATGATCAACAATCAAGAAGAAAATCAGTGGAGATGAAAGATTAATTGTTATCACGTTAACACCTTAAATCAATGTTACCTTTTTAAAGTTGAAAGTTCGCCAGGTTCAGATGATTTATCTTTTTCCATGATTATCAGAATCAACTGTGTGTGTGTCTCTTTCTATGTGCTTCACTAATTGTTTCATGGTTATGTCATGATAAAGTTGAATCATTTTCCATGAGCAATTAATGATGGAATCATTAATCATCATAATCTCATCAAAGTAGAAATAAAAAAACTAAAGTTTTACATGGAAAGAGAAAATTGAAAGATAAAGAGAGCGAGAAAAAAATTCTGTATCGTTTTTGTTATTCCAATCTGGAAATTCAAATGATGACACTCACATTTCCTTATCATACTAATGAACTTTTTTCTCTTCATTCTTAGCTGAGGAGTATGAAGGTGAACAATTAACTATTAACAAAGTAAGTCGTCTTCACATGAGTGCATATCTCTGCATAGCCACTAATGGAGTCCAACCATCAGTCTCCCATCGAATCATATTGAATGTTCATTGTGAGTATATTTCTTATTCAGAGTATTTTATCTCTCGATTAGCATTGACAAACTATCCAAAATCACCTTTCATCACCTTTAGGATTGCCTGACATCTTTACCTGCACCTCCTACTCTATCAATCTGAATAACATATAAACGTTGACCTTTTATCACTCTGATGATAATGATAATGATGATGATGATGATACATGTATTGGTCATTATTGGTAGATGATGAAATGTAAACAAGTGGAATAGCTGTTTTTTTCTCACGTGATTCCATACCCATTTTAGGTTTTCAAAGATCCATAGCATTCTGTGGATCGCTATTAACGATTATAATGTTCTAATTATCTTTATTGTTGCGATTTAATATTCTTCATCCAATAACATTCAATTATCACACTATTATCACTTTCATTCAATTCTATTATATTTTCAGCCTCTATTCATGTTCATTCTCAATTCTAATTAGTTTTTTCATCATCTTGTCTCTCACCCTCTCTCTCTCTCCTTGCTCTTCATCAAAGAATATATACTTATTCATCCTCCTCCTTACCACTTCCACCCTTAGTACCGTTATAACATTGTCCACTCGAAAGTCCATATTGTTACTTTATTTCTCTTTCTCTCTGTTGTGTAAAAAGAAGGAAAAATCTCACGCCTAACGAGGTTCAGTGAGGAACAATCAATGTCCACTCAACCTTCATCAGAATCGACATCTCCTCGAATACAAGTCTTTCTTTTCTCAACTCTATTTTCTATTTATCCTTCTCTTTCCCTTACCATTGTAATAATATTCTCACTCTAACATGATGGTTATTTAGAAACCTCTTTTCTTCAAATCACCCATCATGATTACTTTGATCTTTTTAACCTTAACAATGATTCTTAAATACTCTGCCCAATCCTTGTTTTCTGATTAATGGAATTGTATCTTAACACTCAAAACATTTTCATTCCATCAGATCGTTGTATCTTTAGTCATTCATTGACTAAAATTCATCTTCAATTGTTGTTCCTATTGTCAAGTTTTTTTCGCCTTTCATTATCATTATCATCATCCCCATCAAAATCATAACCAATATGAATCTCTCACTCTTTTCAAATAATAGTGACCATGACTTACTGGTCACCAACATTGTCCTTCTTCTCCCTTTACACATGTTATAAGGAATGAAATGAGACCTAATAAAACAACATAACAAACCAAATGATAATCATGATAATAATCATCAGCAAGTCAAGCTAACTGCCTTTTTCTGTCCCATCAGTTTGACTTCTTGTCCTGTGTTCATTCAATTTGACACAAATCAATGATCAATGATCATCTCTCTCTCTCTCTCTCTCGTCTTTTTTATATTCCATCCTTTTCTCTATCATTTCATGCAATTCTTTTCCTCCTACTGTTCTCACACCACCATTACAACCACCACCTTCTTCCTCTCTTTCTTATTCCTATTTCCTTCTTCTTCCTGAATCATCTTCATTCTTCATTCCATGTATCACTTATCTTCATCTTTTCCCTATCAATTCTCATTCTCTTCAGTAATATCATTTTCTTCATGTTCAATCTTCATCATCATTCTCATCTTCTTACATAATCTTTTTCTACCATCTTCTTATTTCCTCTTTTTCTTCTTCTTCTTTTTTTCTCCCTCTTCTTGTCACTATTTCTTTGCTTCAACTAATAAAAATAACATGATCATTTTCCATCATCATTATCATCGAAAAAACTATCATGATAATATTACACACAAAATGATATAATCATCCAGTTCCGCCAATGATCTGGGTACCAAATCAGTTGATTGCTGCCTCAGTGGGAAGTGAAGCAATATTAATGTGTAACACTGAAGCTTCACCTAAATCAATCAACTATTGGACAAAAGATGATGAGGATGCCTTAATTAGTAACGATAAATATGAGATTACGACTAATGAGAGATTATATAAAGCTCAAATGATTCTGAAAATTCGAGATGTATCAGCGCAGGATTTTGGTACATTCAAATGTTATGCTAGAAATTCACTTGGTTCTACCGAAGGTTCAATTAAATTATACGGTAATGACATCTTTTTCTTCTACAACTCACACCATCTTCTTGACCGCACCCAAAGATTTCTCCTTCAAATCAATTACTTTTCACTATGTATTGAAAGTCCATTGTGTTCAATTTTGACCGACAATTTTCTTTATCTGAATTCTATTTTATTTCTCTTGATATATTCAGTTGGTTTTTTTTCAATTCTAAAGATTATTGAATTTTCATTATTACTTTTTTCTCGATATCATTGTAATTTATTAAATTGTTTCTATTCTCTTTCATTCATAGGGATTCATGTTCCTGGAGGTAAAGGGGCGCGTCGTGATCCAACCAATGCTAGAAGCCGAAGTCACTTAAATGGTAAGATGAATGTTGATTCGAATAGTTTTCAATTCTATTAAGAATAGTTACATAATAAACTTAGGTGTTGATCATTGAATTAGATTTAATATTGGAATTGAATGAATCAATCATCATTGAGATGATACAATCTCATGGATAATGATAAACAGTTAGGTTTGATTGTCTTCTCGAAATCAAAGATAGTTTTAACACCAATCAGCACAAAATTCAATCAATACAATAAATAAAATCAGGACCGATTTTAGGACGAAATCATTGTTCAAACTCAAACAAAGCTTTTCGATAATTTTCATCTAATTTCATTTCTTTTTATCTTATTTTTACTCAAGATGGATCCAATGGTGCCAACGATGTCAACTCAAGTTTCGATAATCATTATAGACAAAGTAAAATAATTCCAATTATAATCATGACCACAATCATCAATATCTTCCTTGTAAATACAGATTATCTCATTTATGTATTACTATAAATAGCCTTTTGGAATAATAAGTATTAACAAGTATTTTTCCGTTGGATTAATTAATCAAAATCAAAGGTTAACAACAAACAATAATCAAGTTTATTACTGAGTAATTTAACGAACTATGTATCAATATATAAATCAGTACCAACTTAGGGTTAAATACAATTAAGATTAAAACAAAAAAGTTACATCTGTGTAAATAAAAACCTCCATGTAAATGCTATTATTAATATATTATTATATATGAAATAAATGAAGACTTTTTGTCATATAACTGTTTATATTATTTGGTGAAAGTTGTGAAAGTTTACAACTCAAATGTGGTACTTCAAATCAGCATTATCATTCATGAATTATGATTTCATTATTACTGTCAACAATTAAAGAGATCAGATTACATGAATTGTTTTTATCAAGTATTTAACCAATACTTCATATGCTTCAATACGTGCTGATAAATGTCATAATATGAATTAACTTTTTCATCTCACATCGTGCCATCTGTTGGTTCCAAATATAAACGAAGCCAAAAGTTCAAACGCTTGCTTTAGTTTTCGTCGAAAAAGCCTATCCGTATATAAACTAGTGATGGACCGATCCGAGTAAATGACTCGATCACGATCGATCTTTTTTGAGAAAAAATTGATCGATCACTTTTGTTGAAAGATCGATCATTGCAAACAGATAAAAAAGGAAGAGAAAAAGTAAGAACAATAATTTCTCTTTCGCATTTGATGGCGCAAAATTTTGATCGTTTCAAAAATAAATGATAATTGAAGAGTTAGCGAATGGTTTTGCAACTAAAACTTAATTTTATTTATGCATTTCTTCCATTTATATACAATTTTAATTAGGGAGCGAGAGAGTAAATCTCACCATCACCTCATCTCTTAAGATGAGGTGAGGTAAAATTTTGATGATGTTTTATTGATCAATTAAGATTATTTTTTTTATTAAATAATTGATTAACTTTTGCTTCGTTTACAAAATTATTGTTACATATTCCTCCTGTAAATTAATAGCAGTCTCTGTTATTAGTACATAGTTATAAAGGGAAAAATGAAGTTGATATGATTAATTAATTCTGAACAGAGGTTAACATAAGTGAATTTTGTTTTTGATACAATAACCAGAAATTGGTAAAATTGGTTATTATTTTCGATTCGATGTTGTTTTGATTCTTGAAGATTACCGTGTTCGTAATGTTAATTAAAACTAATTGTCAATGAGAAGATGATTAGCAAAAGGCAAACATAGTAAATATTATGACGAAAATAAAGTAAATTGATTGACATTTAAAAGATGAACTGAAAAGGAAAAGGAAGACAAGAAATTAAATTGATCATGATGAGGATGAAGATGAAAATGGCGAAGTTGGAGAAGGTCACATTGTCAATTAAGACAACACCCAACCACAAATAAAATTGAATATTCCTAGAAATATAAACAGAAAAATATGAAAAATATTTGGTGGTGAGGGCTCGGAATTACAGTTCAGATTCAGGGTGGTGACATTCACCAACGAGACATTAACCAACGAGACATTCATCAACGATAAATTGTTGCAATTTCCCATTGGGGACATTAATCTGGATTAACAAAGAGAAAAAGAAAATTAAAAACGCCAACTACAGGGCTGTTCAGCTATTTTCGCCGATGTTTTTTGCGATTTTCTCAGCAACTAAGAGTCAAAGAGACTCGAGACTTAAGTGGTATGAGTTCGAGCGATACTGAATTGTCATATTAAAATATCAAGGTCATTCAGGTCACACGTAAAATAACGCGTTTCAAGGTTATTTGATGGTCATTCTATGATTTTCCACACTTATTCATCCTGGGTTAAGATTTTGAAGTTAGTTGTAACTGTCAATCAGAAGATATTGCAGTTTAATCAAAAAGGTACTGAGATTCTTTAATTAACAAAACTTATCATAACAGTTGACCCTAAAGACATAAGAGCCTGAAATTTTGATAGTGGTGTTTTCACACATACTTTTTTATGATAATGCCTTCAAATGACCTTGAAACACGTTATTTTACCAGTGACCTGAATGACCTTGATCTTTTAATATGACAATTCAGTATCGCTCGAACTCATACCACTCAAGTCTCGAGTCTCTTTGACTCTTAGTTGCTGAGAAAATCGCAAAAAGCATCGGCGAAAATAGCTGAATAGCCCTGTACAATAATTGATACTTACGATCTAAATAAGTAGCAAGATCTTGACCACCTCGAAGTAGAGCCAAATCTTTGGCATTATGGCCGTTACCATCTAGTTCTGTTACCGATGAGCCCGCAGCGGCTAAAATACAAACAGCGGTCTGTTGATTAAAACGAACCGCTATTTGTAACGGAGTTTGACCTTCACCCACTGTCCTAGAATCCATGAGATTGGGTTCAGATGAGACAAGATAATGAATAATATCCTGATGTCCAAACATGGCTGCATAATGTAAAGCGGTACAACCCTTGGTATCAACGGCCCATAAACTGTAGCCCCGTTCATGTAAACCTTTAATTGATGAAAGGTCACCTCGTTTAGATGCGTCCAAAATTTTACCCGAATTAAAATCAATTGATATACAGGTAGTGTGACTTTCATAGTGAACGATTTTGATCCGATTTTACCGCTTTATGTTAATATCTATGGTAATTATGTAAACACAGGGTTAGAGACAATAGATTAATTGTTGTGTTGATGTGTTTACTTTTTTGATTAGTGACATGACAGGCCAAAAATTTAGTTTAATCGACATCGGTCGAATTAAAAGTTTTAGAACTTGGTGACTCATTTGCCGCTATTCAGGTCAAGCTGAAAGCCGAAGGAAAATATATTTCGAAAGGCCATTTATCCAATATAAAAATGACCGATCATCTTCAGCTCTAAAGCCACACAACAAAAACGCCGTGGGTCCGCGTGGAACATTAACAAATAGACAATTAGCCGCTCTCAGGAAGAAGGTGACCTCGCCCAACCCGCCCACCCTGGTCACTCTCGCAAAACACTTTGACACATCTATCAATGTCATAAGATATGCTATACATGAAAAACTCAAACTCAAAAAGGTCAAGAAGCCCAAACACCATCATTTAAACTCGACGAATGTCGAAAAAAGGTTTCGCCGCTCGTGGCCTTTGTACCGTAAGCTAAAGTGTGATCAGTGGCAAAATTCATCACTAGCGACGAGGCTTGGTTTTATATTGATGATACCGGCAAGAGCCGGACCATCCAATGGCTCACTTCGAACCAGCGGCGGACAGAAGCCGAGCCGATCACCACTCAGCGGCACAAGAAGGGAGTAATGGTTTGGATCGGTATGTCGGCTCGTGGCCTTACTCAGCCGATTTTTGTTGAGCCGGGAGCTAAAATTAATGCTCAGTATTACATCTCCGCCATTTTGACTCCATTTATTGATGACCTTGCACCTCAACTTTACCCTGAGGGGGGATATATCTTCCACCAGGACTCCGCCCCTTCTCACTCCGCTAAAGTGACCTTAGACTTTTTAAAGTCAAAAAATATAAAATTTATCCACCCCCTAGAACACACACCTACTAGTCACGCAGCTCCATGTGATTTTTTCTTGTGGGGATACTTGAAAAGTCAATTAGCTCACAGGAAGGTGGAGACAATCGAAGGTTTAAAAAATATAATTCGAGATGAGGTCAGAAAAGTGCCGATAACAATGATTCAAGATGCTTTAAGATCTTGGCCTCGGCGTCTTCGTGAAATATACTATGCTAAGGGTTATCATATTGAAAATTAATTTGATCATGTAAATGACCTTAAAGTTATTAACAATCAAAATCGTTCACTATGAAAGTCACACTACCTGTACTATCAGGACGAGTAGCACCACAATTACCAGGCGATAATCGGGTACCAATATCACCTCCTTGTGCCCCTTCACCTTCACTTATGCCCAATCGATTGTCACTATTATCATTATCTTTAATTACCTTACAACTAATTTCATTAGTTCTACTATTTCTAGGATTAAACTTAGGATTAAGATTAAGATTAACATTTCTAGGGTTATAAACAGTATTTACTTTTGTATTGTTATTATTATCACTGGTAGTGGAAGCGTTTATATTACATTGATTTATATTTTTACCTTTATCACTCATAATTGATTCATTTTTAAGAGCACTGGTGGTTGTTGTTGTTGTTGTTGTTGTTGTGGTTGTTGATGGTGGTTGTGGTTGTGTTGATGATGATGTTGGTGACGACGAGGATTGTGAAGGTGACAGTGTTGATTGAATTGTATCTGATGGTGTATTTAGATCACCCGTTTCTTTACTCGCGTTTGGCGGTTTGAAAAGTACAATTGTATTATTGTTATCACCCAATTGGCTTTGATCTATTGGTAAGGGTGTCTCATCACCTCCCTCACTAATACCGCTCGCTGGACTATTGGTGCCCACGTAGGTTGGTACACTTGGTGTACTTGTATCATCACGATAATTGTCATCAGCGGGATCAAGAATGAAAAGATCGTCATTACAAATATCTACCACATACTGTAAATGCTCTTGGGCTCGATCGATGCGAAAAAATCGTTCAGCAGTACAAGCTAAAAGTTGGAGAGACAATTTTGTTTTCGATAAAATTTCAATTAGGAAAACTTGATTATTAGATTGAATTCTGATGGACTTACAATCAACGAAACACCAATCAGTTGACAGTTCAAAGGCTCTTTCCATTCGGTATCTTTTCACTTCTGAATCTGGTGTTTCATTCATCTTTTGACTGGCCGTTGATCCTTTTCGTTGAGCTTGGACCATTTGAATGATTAAAACACGAACATGATTCAATTCGAGATCGGGATTAATATTAAGTTTACCAAGAGGTATTGCTAAAGTTAGAATAAAGTTTTCCAATAAAAGTTAATTCATCGAACTGGAAAAGTCTCTAATTGTTCAAAAATCAATACAATACTTACATGCATCTCGAAGTCTGTCTTTATCATAATGGAAAGTTTCATAATCGGTTAAATTTAACTTTCTTACATCAACGATTATCTCTCGATCCAAAGTTGGCCTGGAAAGTTGATATCGAAAAAGCAAAAAAGTCAATACAACATTATCAATATGTAAAGAAGGGAAAAAAAACTCGATCGAAAATGATTCTCACATTGAAATGATCTGCGAATGAGATTTAGATTTGGCAATCATATTTGCTTGATTTTTGACCTTAATCCTAATGACGGAAGGTAATAATCGACAGGGTTCACCATCTACTTGCATAGGAATCGTTCGCCGTGTAACTATTTTGGCCTCTTTACATTGAGCTACACACGACCCATGGCCACCGGCTTGAAGAAGAGGCTACAAAGTGGGTGAAAGAAAAAGTTATCATCAAGATTGAGGTTTATTTACATTTCGATCAATGATTTTTGTCGGTCGATTCTCACCAGTTGATAGGTTGTAAGGCCAATTACTTCAATCAGTCCATCATCGGTTCTTGGTAGTTCAAAGGAGGGCGATGCACTGCCCCAGGGTCGAGTACCACCTCCGTAACAGGGGATATTGAGAAGTAAAAGTGAATGGACTTTCAGGTCTCTTAGTCGTTGTGTATGGTCAAAACCATCACGAGTTTCATGGAACTCAAGGGCAATATGAGCATCAACACCAATGGAAAAATAATTATTAATCACATTAAGAGGTAACGATTCTTTACCACCCTCAGGCGTATCTGAAGCTTGTTCTATTAGGTTTAATTCAGTGTTAAGAGTAACCTTAACATCCCAACGGTGAAGTTGTGCAACTTCACCGTTAATCTTGTCTTTAATGTTAATCTTGGAAACTGGTTCATTTGAACACCTCCACCCCAAACAAGTACTCAAGCAAGATCATTACCAGTTCTAAGGGATTTAAGGGTAGCAATTGGAGGTTTAAATCCAACATCGAGAACCGAGAGTATCCAACCAGCGGTTCCATCGCCTCCACAAGCCAATATCCGCAGGTTTGGCACTTTACGATATAATTCATGATGGTTTATGTTTAGACTGACTGAAGGTTGTATGCCAATAATTAGTATTTAGTTCATTTTATTATTAATAATAGATAGATTCAATCGTTTCCAAGAGAATCCTTTCCCCAATGCTCTCAGATGATGATTTTCAGTTAAGTAGACTTGATTTTCTTGATTGTTTGAATTTAGTTATAATCTAAACCCATAGAGCTCACTACTCACCATAACAATCAATTGGTAGTCCAGGTAACAATTTGAATCTTTTGCTGTGGCTCTTGAGACATTTATTGGTTTGAATTGAACAGTTACATGTGATGATGATGATATATCAGACAATAGAAAAAAGTATGTTAAATTGTTACAAATCAATGTCAATTGTGATAAAAATCATTCGAAATTAAATTTGTACTGTCATTTTTTCCAATTTTGTTCATTGTTTTGACATTAATTTTCTTGTTTCCATTGCGAGTAACTCTTACTTTCTACTTACAATTTAACTCAAGAACAAATTTAATTGTGTTTTTTATTCAGTAAAATGATTTGTTTTCCTTTAATTGTGGTTTGTTCATCTGATTATCAAATTTATTCAAATGAATTGAGAATTTAAATGTTAAATCAAAAGACTGGATGTAAATTTGTTTTTCAATTCACTTGATGATTATCTTTTCTTCTGTGTATTTGTAATTAACAAATTTTAAAATTCAACAGACACAAACTGTTGGATAACGAAATCAAGTTAAAATAACCTAAGGGATAATCGTCATCATGTCAGGATCATCAAGTGGCCATAATAGACAACCAAGTGTTCGGCGTAATCGTAAAGTTATCGTTAGCTCAGTTTCAAGTTCAGGGTCAAGTTCATTACCCATCAGCCGAGGATTAGGAAGAAGTTCTGGTTCTCATGGGAGCAATAGTAAAGGGAGAGTTATTATAACACCCTCATCATCACCCCCACCGAATCCAACAGCAACAACAACAATAACCACAACCACATCAACAGTGAAAACGATTAACTCAACTGGATTAACCTCCAGATCAACAATTACTTTACCTGTAAGACCAACAACAGAGCCAACAACACCGACAACCATACCAACCATTATCATTGAAGATAGTGATTCATCAACACGATTAACTAACGATCCAATAATAACTATTCTGGATAATTATTCATTCCCTGAAGCCGGAAAAGATGTCAAAATTATTGACCACAGATTCTTGTACAAGTGAGTTTTTGGATTTTTTGTTCATATTCCAAATAATCACATGAAATAATTGATAATCATTTTTTTACCGGCGGAAAAAAACGTTAACTCATTGAATCGATGAGTAACCAAGTGAGAGTGAAAACGTTACATTGGATAGGAAGTTCGTTCCATATAAAAATTAATAACCATGAAGAGAAATGGTTTTATCCATGAAACAAGATCAATGTCCATTGGTCTCTGATCATCAATGAATTGGATGGAACAAAAATTTTCACTCATTCTTGTTCATCCAATCTCTTCACCTCATGCACTTTGAGTTTACTTTGATGATGATGATGAGAAAAGGATAATATTGAATCTTGATTCTAGAATATAAGTTCATCTCCCTTGGAAAAGTAAACACCATGGAAATTGTAACTTATCTCACCAATACACATTATTGAATTTTTCTCAATTTCCATGAGATAGTCAACTTTTTCTTTCTTCCAGAGTAAAATGTTACCCATCAAGTTTCAAGATGGAAAAAGAAATCGTAAGGTTTGATTCCAGTTAAAGTAAAAGATGAAATTTCAACAATATGTTCTGATGACAATTCCAATGAAACCGAGTTTGGAATTTTTTATTTACACTGTACATCAAGTAACCATTATTATTGAATTGTTGAAACTGATATTCAGCTATTGAATTTAACCAACGAATAACAATTATCTCTCTCTCTCTCTCTCTCTCTTATCCTGTGTTTATCTGATTCTTTTTCTTTATCCATGAAATGGAAAAGCTTCAACATGAAACTTGAATCGAAATATGAAAACGTGTAGATTCAATTGTGAATACTCCCACACAAGGTATTGTTGATTCCCATTGGATTTTCATCTCATTATCTTGAAAAAAAAGTCCATGTTGCGTATTGATAATCAATCATTTTGATTAGAAATGATAAAATTTTCAGATACCTTGAGGCTGAATTTGGGTGTGAAAATTGTGCTGAATTGAACAAGTTGTCTTTCTCATTATATCGATATCATTATTATTATTTATCACTGGATATTGGTGATGATCATTATCCAAAATTCAGTGGTCATCCTATTGATAAATTTATCATGGAATATTTTGTTTGATGGTGTTAACAAGATAATAGCCTGGAGATATTGAAATTTATGGGATTTATCGGTGTACATGAAACAAGTGAGAAAAAAGATCTCATGAGAAAATTTTTCCAAACTGAGAGACATTTGTACATTGACAATGAGAATCGAACTACTTTGAAACTTGAACTTCTCGAACATATTAATAATCCAAAGTGAACAATAGAAATTTAGAAATGAAAATTTTGTGAATAATCTTGACAGGAAAAGAATCATTCTAATGATTATGTAATTGTCATATAATATTGTGAAATAAATATTGATTCTCGTCACACTATTTGTGATGGAATCGATTCATGTAAATAGTTGAGAGATTCAGATAAGATTCCACAGGCTAGTTAAATCTCACTTTGGCTTTTCCTTTCCTCACCTGAACATATGAGAACGTTCATTGAGAATTCATGAAGACAAATTGGAATCTGAAAGGAATAATTCCTTAGAGCGATTGATAAATTGTATTGATTCTTTACCTTTACTCTTTCATTGAATAGACAACACATCTTCCATCTGATTCCATAGATGCAAGTGAATAATTTCTAGAGAAATTTCATTCTGGTTTTCAGGTGATAGAATAATAGTTCTGAAAAATGAAATTCAACTCTTTGAATTGATTGTTACATTTAATCAGTTCAGTTTGATCGATTGACTCTAATATATAAATTCCCAGGGAAGTAACAATCATGTGAGATGAAATTTCCAATAAATAGTTGGCGTCATGATAAAGATTCGAGTAAACGTAAGTTTTGTAAAACTGACGTCTTCTATTCAATGATGAATCGATCAGCTGATTTGATATTAAAGACAACGAGAGAATTTTTTTATCTCTCTTGTATGCAAATGAATACGAATAAAATTTTCAAATAACTTCAATTTTTGCTCTTTTTCCATGTTGATTCTTACGCTCATTGAATTAACATTTTCGACAACAGTTAATCTAAAAGTTTTTCTTTCTCTTCTTCTTTTTATTCATGAATAGAGTTTAATTCTGATAGGAAATACATTTTTCTCAATTGGCCAAGCATAAAATTTGCCAGATTCTGGAAATTTATGTTTCTTTTTCATGGTACAAAGATGAAAGGTTAAATGAAGTGAGAAAATTTCTCAAAACTTTCAGAGTATTGAGTTGAAAATCTGAAGGATTCTTGAATGAGACAAAAGAAGCCTCTTTCATGAATACATCAGAATACTTGAATCATGAGAGAGACAGAGAGAAATAAACAAGAAAACAAAGGTGATCAATGATTACCTATGATTCAGGCAATTAATTATTAGAATCAGCAATCAGCTTTTACCTCAATCATCAAAGTAACGATTTAAAGTGGAGAGTTTTTTGTTTTCTCTTGCACATTCAGTCATTAGTGATTAATGATAAATCTTTATTTAACTTCATGATTAAGAGTTTTCACCTGAATTTGGATAAGAATCTGACCTTTTACACTCTTTGAACTGTTCAACATGAAATAATTTCTTATCAATTATTTACCTGAATGGACAATAAATGTATTTAACTAATGACAATGACCATGAATCGATAGTCTAAGATGAAAAATGAAATGAAAATCACATGAATGTGAAGACCAATATTCTTGAGAACAAGAGATAATCATGATGAAGATGATTCTTATCTTAATTGTTATCAACAACCAGGGTCAACAATAGATGATAAATGTCCTTATCAATAGAATGAGAATTCATTCTAATGGTGAAAATAGTACAATGAATGAAGTGGAAAATACGAAAGAAAAAGAAAATATATAAATGATAGAAATTCCTATCAATTATCACTATTATTGGAAAAAGAGAGAAAATCGAAATTCTTTCACAATGGAACCATGTTACCCTGAATTTTGTTCTGAATTGTAAATTCATAAGGTTAGTTTACATTATCGTGAAAACGATAACAATTGATCGCGACAAATATATGATAAAGTAGATGGAAGTAGGTAGAGAAAAAGTAACACAAAGTTTCAATTTGAGAAAACTAGAGTCTCAAATTACCGGTGTTCCCTCAAGGTTATTGTGTTACACACTTGAATCAGAAGAAGAAGAAGAAAATGTTCACATGAGATTAGAGTTTATTGAGAAAGGATAAGCTTTAATACCTCTTATCCATCTTTTTCTCTGTAATTTCCTCTTCCTTTTCCACCCATCGAACTAATTTTCCATCTTATTCAACTCCTACTCTCAAGATGTCAAGCATCTAATGGTTATATCGGAACGAAGAGGAAAAAAATAAGAGGGAAAATTATTATTGATTCGATACATTAGATGATAAACAGGAGAAAAATTAGAACGAAGAAACTCAATTTAACTAACCTCATAAAGCCTTTTGAGATTAACCTGAACTTTGTATGGAATTCATGGTTAGTATCATTCACATGATGGAGATAATTCATTATTATCATTATTTTAAGAATTATTATTACCATAGAAAAAATTAAGTTCCTTGCAATTCTGGCTTTTTTTCTCATTCTTTTCTCTCTTTACAATATTTCCATTCAATTTTCTCACTCAGAGTTTTATCTGCCTATTCTTATACAAATTTCATGATGATCTTCATGAAGATCATCAGAAAAAGATAAAAAGAGTAAAAAAAGAGAGAGAGAAAGAGTAAAAGTAAAAGGTAATGTTTGTTTATTCTCTAACTTTTTCATCATCTTCCACTCTCTTCGTTTACCTAATATCTACTTTTTTTGTTCTTTTCTTCATCTTCATCTTCTAATTCATTGCTGAAAGTTTATATCGTTTCAGAATTTTCTCCTTATCCATTTTGAAATTCTGATTCTTTCTTTACTATTTTTCCCTTTGAACATTTTTACATTTCATCAGCATGATAATAATCTGAATAGTATTTTATTCATCGTGAACATTATCTCAGATAAGAATAGAGAAAAGTAAAACTTTAGGATAATATTGAACTTGAATATTTAAGATGAGAAAATCCATTTCGATAGTGTAGAATATATTTCAACATCAATTCATTTCGAGTTACTTTTTTATATCCTGACAACAACTTCCCTTGTTTACTTTTCAATTGTCTGGAAACATGAAAACCCTTTGAATTATCATCATCATGTAATCACCATGCTATTACTCAATCATTCCAATAGATGATCATGATAAAAAGATTAAGTATCAGGAGGATGGAGAAACTTTTCATTACAAATTCAATTCAAAACACCATGTAGACTGTTTAACGTTGTTCCATTAACCACAAAGTGAAAAGAAAAGAAAATGAAGAAGCAAAAGTGTTCAGAACATTAAAGCTTCCGGTTAATCAAATCTCATAGAAAATTTAATACCATGAATTCTGACTTAGTTTATCATGAAGATAAAAAAACAAAGTTCCAAGTCTAATTTGTTTTCCAATAGAGTGTGAAAAGTTTAGAGCCTGGAAACAGTTAGAGTGTTTTATTAAGATTAAACTTGAATAACAATTAAGTTTAAAATAAAAATCTTATCACATAATTAAAGCATCATGAAGAAAGTGTATGATGTTGATGTTACCTGTTAATTGTTGTTTTCATGATAATTATCATTCATCAGAATCAACATTCATGCTACATATTAATAGTTATTAAAAATATCAAACTAATGAAAGTTTACAGATAACAAAAGTTTTATCATAACCTTGAAGGCTTATATCAAATTGGATGAAAAGTTTACCTAAGGTTAACTTTTTTTCAGTCTCCTCGTTAATGATTCCTATTTACAACAATAAAACAACATTAAAATTAACATCATCATCATCATCAGGATCGTCTTTGCATCTTCATCGTCATCTTCAAACAACACCACGATCTCTTCATCCTTTTTTCATTTCTGTACAGAATTGTTATCCACTCCATCACTATTATTCTTGCTTTTCTATTGATGAATATTATCATATATCGACCATGTGATGATGATGCATGATGATGAGAATGATCGTCATCCTTTTCTCATTCAAAAGCAATATAACATGAAACGAAGGGTGAAAAATAGTTTTCATCATCATATTGTTCATTTTCCTCTACACCTCCATCATCATCATCATCGTCATCAGCTCTTCATCTTTATCATCATCACTTTCTCTTCACCCACTTCTTTCCCCAAATACCATTAAATGTAGCTTAATATGATGATAATGATAATATCTTTTGTGATATTAGTTGAATAGCAATAAAAAAACGATGTGTAAACGAGTAAAGTTACGAACTGGATTCTAGAACAAAACTGTTTTCGATAATAACTGTTAAATGATAATAAAAGTTCGTGAGAGAGAAAATGAAAGGTAAGTATAAGAATAAAAAAAATATATAGTTATAATAATATCAGAATGTAAGGTGAGAGATTTCAGACTAAAGGAGGGAGATGTAGGTGTGTTTATGGGAAAGAAAGAGAGAAAGAGAGAGAGAGAGATAGAGAATGGAATGGATGAGGATGAAGATAATGTTGAAGATGAAATCAAAGTTGTAAACCAGAATCCTCAAGAGTATCGTTAAAAATAGCAAAGGAACAGGAAACATGAGAAGATCAAGAAGAGAAAGAATTATCATCAGCATCATCAAAGTAAAATTTTCTCAGAGAATCAAGAGCTTTCAAGATGAATGTTAGACAATTATAAGTACATGTATCATTGGAAATACATGGTATATATTAATAAAATCAAAGGTAAAAATGAATAAGCAAAAAAAGTTGTAAAAAATGTTACAGAGTAAAAATAATTGTAAAAAATTATCATCCTAATCATCATCATCTTATAATTTGTAATAACAAAAAGGTGATTATTAATATATTACATTTATCACAATAAGACTGAAAAGTTCAGGTAAACAAACAGTGATTCATTTGAAGGGAGTGATGATTTTTCTGGTAAAATGATTCAATTTATATGCAATTAGCTTACAAATAATAAGATAATGATCCATGATGAAAGTTGGTTTGAATAAGAAAAAAATGCTCAAAATTATCATGAAAATTATCATGAAATAAACTCAAAGATAATAAATGGAAGATAAAAACAGAATGAAAAGTTTCCAAACTTAGAAAAAATTTCTCCTTCCCTGCATAGGAAAAGCTCCATTCTCTCATGATAACATCTTAATGAAAAAGAATATATTATTGGAATTATGATTCCACAGAAGAATATCCTTAACAGAGTAGAACTTATAGTCTTCCATGATGATGATATTTTCAATCATCCTTTTAGCTCTCTGGATTGTCTCGATAAACTTATTCTGTAATCAATCATTTGCTGATATAATACGACTCACCCACTAGTTGATGGGTATTAATATTATCTTATAAACTAATTTCATGGCAATTTTTGTGGTATATTAATATCTGTTACTCTTTTTGTCAAAACAGTTTGATCAAGTTCAACGTTTATAAAGGTTAATTTGCTGTTCAGGGGAAATCAGGTATAAGAAAACAATTTTCATGGTTGATTATTTTTCTTTCCTTAAAAGAAATGATAAAAAAAGAGAGAAAGAGAGAAAAGTGTTCTCAGCTCAATGAATTGACACTTTTGCTTACAAAAGTTTTAGTTAACTTCATCTTCTTCCTTGAAATTGATGACGATGATAATGATGATAATAATAACCTTACCTGTGTATCACATTGTTGATATCATCTTATTTCATCACTATGAACAAAATACTCAGAATATCATGAAACTTTAGACACCTTAACTTCCTTCCCCTTCGACCTCTCCCACTTCTGCCTTAGATCATCTTGATTAATGATTTTTCATTGTCGTCAAAATCTTCATTTATCTTCATCATCATCATCACCATCATCATCTCTCTCTCTCTCTCTCTCTCTCTCTCTCTCTCTCTCTTGTTCTGTCATCCATGTCATTTTTAATACTCACCCAGTTTCACCATGAGACTTAATCATATCATTATTAAATTTGACATTGATAATGACAATTAAGTGTAACAATAATGTTTCAATAATCATCATGAGACAATTATCTAAATTGTTAACCAGCCTTCAATTGCTCAAGTTAATTAATATTTGCAATGATTAGCTACTGAAGAAATACTAATTGAATCATGAATCATGGAAGAATAATTTCACTAGGGCAAAAATCGAGATGAACAAAAAAAGAGGCTACATATAACTCAAGCGATTAAAATTCATGATAAATTTTGATATCATGTCAACTTGAGCTCTTTCTCAGAAATTTTACTAAGATATATAAATATATTTAGAACATTCTATTTGATACTATCGGTAAATCTAGCCTTTGATAAGAATTTTCTTCTTTCCTTATCCTCGTCATCATGCTCTCACTTTTTTCTCTTGCGTGACTTTATATTTCCTCCCACTCTTTTTATCCCGTTAAATGAAATGATCATGTTCGAATATCAACTTTTTCCTCCTCATATTCTATTCGTTACCCTTTTTTTTTCTTCAATTTATCGTCAATTCCAATAGATTCAGAATCATTTCATGAAGATTGAATGAGATATTTAACAAAAGAAAAATGGTTATAAATATAATATCTCAGTTTTAGGTCGATTACTGATAATACAAATTATTATCCAAGGAGAGGTTACATTAACATGTCTATGGTTGGACGATTCTAGAACACTATTTGATTAAAGATGAACGTGACTCTATCTTGGTGATGCAAGAAAGGAATTATTTTTATTCCGAAAAATTCACTCAAAATTTCAGGTTCATGAATCATGGTAACGAAATAGAAAACAAATTGATCAATTTCAATACAATTGACACCATCATATAATAATAATAATATTTATATATATTAAATTCCGAGAATGTAAATATTATCTAGGAAAAAATTTCATTCAGTTAACAATGTTTACTTTTCAATTTTTTCTCATTACTGAACTTTGGTTTAGTTTCATGATAAAAAACAAATCTTGTTGATATTTTTCCCTCCCTTTCTCTAACTCTCTTCCTCTTGTTTCTTGATTACACTTGCCAATTAAATGTAATTACACCGTTAATTTAATTTGATTAGCAGCAATTTAATTGGATAAAGAAAAAGGGTTTCCTTGATTTGGTTTGATTACTTTTTGTTATTATTATTTGACATTGGAAAAAGGTTTCTCTGTAAATATATGTATATTATAATTGTTAAAACCTAGAAGTTGAATAGGTTGAAATGAATGTGAAATCATTATCATCATGGTTCACTGAATCATCATGACGATGATCATTGTACTTGTATTATAATAATCATCGTCATCTTTGTCATCCTCATTAGTTTAATGTCTACCTGGTGAAATGAGATGAAACTTTTTTTCCTTTTCTCTCTCTTTCTGTTATTTTCCATTGGAAACATCAACTTATCATTAATAATATTAATAGTAATATCAGCTGAGAGTTTTTTTTTCTCAGACGATTCTGTTTGATATCTTTATTAGAATCGTATTTCAGTAATAATATCAGAATTTATATCATTCCAAATCATGATAGGTAAAGAAAGCTAAAATCATCATCAACATGTTAATGATGAAATGTAATCTAATTAACTTGCTTTTTAATTGCTCCTGTATCTCCCTAATGATATGTACTCTCAACATTGATGAAATCGTCAATCATCATGACTGATGAACATGAGCTTTTATCTCAAGATGATTATTAGCATGATTTTATAAGTAGCTGAATCAAGTTAGAGGTAGACAATTGACTATCACAGTTGAATGGTTTAAATGGTGTATCTACCTGTCTATCTAATGGTAAATGATTATTGGGAATTTTTTTTAAAAAGTTGTATGAAACTAACTCAATCTGATCGAAAACTTTTCCTTGAATATTTGACATGATACAATTTTCGCGAAAACAAATCAGCAGGAGTTATTTTCCAATTTCATCTTTTGCCTGTTTAGAAGGCAAAGAAAAAGGAGATAGATTTACAATTCGAACCCTTTTCTTTGATTTTCCAATCACAGAAAAGAAAAACAAACATGATAACTTTTTATATATAAAAGAAATTTAAGAGAGAGAGAGAAAAGTTCTAAGGACTTTTCTGAAAGTGAAAAGGTAGAAAGAAATGAAAAATCTCCATCAGAATGAAAGATTAACCTTCTAAATGATCAGAGATGAGCTTGAAAAGAAAAGAAAAGAAAAGCAAAAGTTTTTTCTGCTCTTAGATGATAACAAGAAATTGAACCTTTTCTTTTTTCACCGAATTCACCGAGTTATGAGAATGAGAAATTGAAGTATTCATATGAACAGAAATCAGAGTATGTAAAAAAGAGCAGGTAAAAAGAAGACAGAAAAATTTTATGATAAAATGTAAAATATTCGTAACCATGAAAATCACTTTTTCTCAGGTGGAACAATTTTATTCATTATAATCTCTCTCTTTCTCTCTTTCTCTCTCTTACAATCTCTAGGAATGATGTCAATTTATCTTCCACCATGATGTCTAACACCATGGTGCTCATCTCTCATCATCAAATGAATCAGCTTCATGTGTTTACCTCAATTGATCTTATTTTCTGCTCTATTCTTTTATAAATTTTTCTTATAATTCATAGTCTCTAAATGTATTATAATATTTTCACCATGATTATTGATTTGGCACCAGAATATTTCATACTCGGAATCATTAGGATGATGATGATGATGAGGTTAAGGTAAAGAGGGAGTAAAAAGTGGGGCAGTAACTTTACATAGTTGGAATCGATCAGCAAAAATAATAATATTACAAGTTCAATGCTGAAAATAATAACAATTCCTGTTATTATTAATATATTATCATTATTATTATTGTTATGAATATACTGAATCTCAATGTTATAAATAAATTATCACATCATGAGGTTTTCCTATCAATTGATTTATCCTCAATTCCAGTAAACGGTAGCAATCAACAGACGTGAATAAACAATTGTTGCCTTTTACCATTGTTATCATTTAATCTGATTGTTGAGAGTAGAGTTTATCAGAGCAATAATCATGATTGGAAATCATGAGAGAAAAAAATATCATGGTATTAATCAGAAAGTTAGAGAGAGAGAGAGAGAGAGAGAGAGAGAAAAAAAGGAAAAGAAAGAGAAAGAGAGATAAATTTGATTAAGTTTATTGATAACGAAAAAGAAAAAGTTTTTATTTTTTTTTCGTTCATAACTTTTCAAAGACATTGACAAAGATTCCGTATTCTTATCATGTAGAGAGACTCAGATTCCTTTGAGAAAGAATTTCTCTTTCTTTCAATTATCAGAATTCTTAGCTTCTCTCTCTCTCTCTCAATATAGTTGAGCCTCATGATTAAGTTCATTATGAATTTTATATAACTAGATTTAAGTGATAACCTTGATAAGATTTAGGTTATCATAAGGATGAAGATTTAACATGAAAATGATTAAAATATAATCTCGGAGAATCAGAATTGTCGTATTGTACTTATCCCCTCAAACTGTGAGCCACACATTTGGAATTACATAGAATAAATCGAAGTTTTCTCATTATTTGAAGAATTGACAGATTTTTATCATGAAAATCGGTAAATCGGTTGTCACCTTCATAAAACGTTCTTCTTCATGATACAAATGGTATTTTATATCAACAATGAACTTTTCCTCTTCTCATCAGATTATATCTTATCATCTTGTTACCCTGAGTTATTTCATTAGCTTGAAGCCAGATGATAACTGGGAAACAAATAATGATGATTCTCTTGTTTGCCTTTCGTTCATGATATCTCATTTTTCATGGGTAAAATTAAAGTTCTGATCGATAATCGATTCGGTAACTCGAATATGCCGAGAGAGGAAAAATCTATTCGTTAATAACATGACACATTCAAAGTCAAGATCGATCTATGAATCAAAACTCAAATTCTAATAATACTCACAGATTTAGATTATTCTACCTCGATTAATCGAATCAGATATAAATTCAATTCATTAGTTGAACTGAACACCAAGAGATGTCTCCATGTTCAACATTCAATTGGATCAAATTAATTATTGATTAACCAAATTAAGAACTTATTCATTTCTTTTTTTCCTCGTCTTCCAAACTTCTTCATTTAATAACAATGTTTCTTTAAAATTTCATTTCTCTTACCATGAAAATCGATCTAATTAATTCTGAGCTCTAATGATTAAATGGGAACTCATTAACTATCCCCTGAGATCGATAAACTTCAAACAATTAAACATTTATCTGAATTTCTGGTTATTTATTGCAAGTTGATTAGTCTAATCAACAATCACATTACCAAAGGCTTTCTAATCAATTAACCAGTTTAACTAACCGGTAAATCAATCATTTAAACTGGTCACTTTATTACAATACGATTTGATAATTTGATGGGCAAAAAAATGACAAGATTAGAAAATTAATCTGATTTGATTATCTGCTTCTAATCATTTGTCTATTTTCACATTCATTAAACGTGATTGACTTTTAATCTTTAGATTAATTTAGACTTAAGGTTTAAAGTCATTGAATAACCTTGGTAATTAATCTCAATTAGAGAGTGAAAATTTCATTCTCACATCATTTGTATGAGATTAATGTTTGGTGACCCTCAAAGTCAATGGATTAATATGTATTGTTATAAGTGTTGTTAATCTAATCCATAAGGAGACAGAAAGAGTTTAATGTTCATCAGTTTTTTTCTGAATATCTTTTGTGTTGTAGTTTTCTTGTTCAATTCTGTGGTTTAACTGAGTAACAAGAGATGTCACCATGTTGAATGTTCCGAAAGGATTGAGCATTTGAAAGATACAGTATCAGAAAATTTGAATCAGAGGATATTACCTTTCCTATGGATCTCCCACCTCTCTCACTCTCTTATTCTCTCTCTTTCTCACCCTATGTCCCGCTCACTCTGACATTCCTTTTGGTTTTGTCTCTCTTTCTCTATTTGCCTCTCTGTTTTTCTTTCTTTCTCTCTCTCTCTCTTTCTTTCTCGGTCTTTCGTTTTCTCTCTCATCTCTGTTGATCGTTACTCTTACAATCATCTTCGTCATCATGTTGAAAGTTCTCTTGCGTTTTTTCTGTTCGATTCTCTCTTCCATTTCATTCAGTCTGAACATTCTCAGTTTATAACAACAGAACAGGTAATGTTTCATATGAAAAGTTTTCGATTTGTTTCAATATGTGAATAGAAAGTCAACAGACAAGACGAAATAATAAAAAAAAAGAAAAGAGAAGTAAATTTTTTATCATAAGTGTCAAGGTGAAAAAGGATAAGTGAAAAAAGGGATAAAAGATTTAGATTAGCCTGTGGTCAGTCTGTCTTATCCTTTCAACCCTTTCAGTAGATTTCAATCTTCAAGATTGGTTCATTTACCATATCATCCATGATGCAAAGGATTAAGGATAGTTTACGTAAATCATCATCATCTTCACGTGAGTCAACCTTAGATCCATCATCAGGGCCGAAAAATCAACAAGTGCCAACAAGTTCATCTGCTAATTATCATCATTCTCATCAATCAAACTATCAAAATCTACTTGCACCTTCATCACCAACAAAATTAACTTCAGAAGTACCACCGGGATTTTTAAATTTAGGTTCTAACCTTGGATCGGGTTTAAGTCGAGTCGGTTCACCGTCGACATTATCTCCACTTTCAGAGCGCCGAGATGAGGTTACCTTTGAAACAGTTCGAATGGTTCCTCGATCGTCTCGTAGTGAGGATGTAGCAACAACTCCCGAATCTGATACCCATTTTCCCTCTGCTTCCCTTTCCGTTTCCCCTCCTTCCTCTTACCATCCTACGACTCCGACAAACACCTCGAGCAGTGGTGATCTTTTAAGTGCTCATAGTAATTTAAGTGTTCACTTTTCTCTTAACGTACAATCAAATTCAATCTCCGATGCAACTAATCAATTTTTATCCACCAATTCACCAAGTCGATCTGGAAGATCTCGATCATTTGATTCAGCGGCTGCAGCCGCAGCTGCTCGTGAAGCAGCTGAACAAAAGGCTAAGAAACCTTATCATAAGGCAATAAACACCTTTCTCGAGCTTCCAAAATGGCGGATGCTGGTTCGTAAATCACCAGCCTCATCAAGCTCATCTGGACTCTCCTATGAACGGGATTGTATCCACTGTCAGTTGACCCTTGAACTTGCCAAAATGACCAAAGCCTCACCTCCAGTTTCAAGTGCAAATTCAATATCATCTGAAGGCTCATTGTGTGAGGAAGAGTCAGACAGTGAATCTGTTGCCATTGGCACTCGAACCTCATCAACTGGTGAGCCGGAAGATGACGATGCAATAAGTAACTCAGGAACAGCGGAAATTGAAGGATTACCAACAGTGATTCTAAGTTTAGCCCCGGAAATTGAAAAACCTTTACTCGAAGAAGACACCGGATTAACAGTTATATCTCTTGAAGTTCCTATTCGTACCAAATCAGGTCGCTCGGCTTCCGTTGATGGATCTTATCTACAAGTTCCCCAAAGACCTGAGATTGGTATTTGTGAACTTCCACCGGTCAAAGCTCAACGGTCAAGATCAATTGATGTCGCATTACCAGTTGGACCCGACGGACCTTACATCGTTGTACCCACGGAGAAACCACAACCTTTGATAACACAGTGAGTCCCAAGTCTCAAAATTATCATTACATTTATAAGCAGTGAAACTATTGAAGCAAAATTAACAAATTGGATTACACATTTATCTTTAGTTTTTCTCATGAAATGAAATTTCAACATCGTATGATAATCAACTATTGATATTATGAATTCTGTAAATATTAACCAAGAAAAACTGATTAATCTTATGTTCGTGATATTGACTCTTCGCAACTGATCAATTACCATCGTAATTTTTGCTATTATAAACGCTTAAAGTTTCAACTAGAATGATGAATGATCAGATTAAATGGTTTACGTTATCTTAGAAGATTAAGTTTTGAAAGCGGAAGTAGAATAATGAAAAAGGAAGTTGATTTTCTGTTGCTTGAGAAAAAAAAGTTTGGGATAAAAATCAAACCAGAACTTTTCCTTTCTCTTTTTGTGTATTCTCTTTGAGTATATGATACAATGGAACTACAATAATTACTGTTTGTTGTTTTCGATAAACTTTATCTCTGTCTCTCTCTTTTCTTCAGCCAAATGAACTTTTCTTTCCTTGTTCTCTATCATTTTCTTCACTCGATTTGTGATAAACTGGATAAGAATAATGAAAGAAGAAGAGGAAGATAAGAAGGTACCTAATACTTTCTTCACCTTTTCTCCATTTTCAAGTTCTTTTCGCTAATTCCTTTCAAGTTTCTTTTCGAATAATCCAAATGTTCATTTTGTTTAAAGGTAATCAGTTCGACAACATGTTTATCTTCATCTTCTTCACCAACATTTCTCCCTCTTTACTCACCATTTGACCTGCTCATTAATTGCTATTCATCTTCATCTCACTCTTTCTTTTCTTACCTTTTTAATTGTAAACTCATCAACTATCACCTTCAATTATCCTCTTTATCCTCTGTCAGCATTTAACTCTCATGTCTTATCGGTATCATCATGCTCTCTCTCTCTCTCTCTCTCTCTCTCTCTCTCTCTCTCTCTCTCTCTCTCTCTCTAGAACTTATCATGAAGATCTAATTCCTCTAACCTACAATCAGACATCATGAACAAATAATTTCACTCGCCATTGAATCATAAGTAATAATCAATATCAATTAATAGTTATCCACCATCAATCCCCTGAATATCAAGTTCTTACAAAAGTATTTATAAATATATCATTTATGCCACACAGAGTTTCAAAATTTACCCTGAAATTTGTTCAGCTGCTTATAAGCGACTGATAAATATCCTCGTCATCATGTAACTTTCAGACTTTTTCTGAATTTGTTGCAATCAGACAAGAAACAAACCTCATGAACTTATGATAATAATAATACTTGGAGGCGATAATTATTATAAAGAGTTGACTTAGTCATCTTAATCATGATTGAAAGCCTGAGTTTGTACTGGAAAATAATCAGTTGCATGTTAAGAATCAGTTAAATTCTGAATTTACATCATTTAAATTTTGTCAAAAATTCAGAGTTAATCTATGTATTTCTCTCATGAAACTCATTATTATTCATTTGAAACTCATGAGATATTTAAATAATATATATAATAGATGCAACGAAATTTGGAAAATATTTTTTCTCTCTTTTTAATTCACTTTTCATTCATTTGATTACAATTGGGTGATAATTGTCATGAATTGTCATGAATGATGAGCTGATATTCACCTTACTCAATATCTGATTAACTTCTTAATTAGTTTCGATTTAAAATGTTGAACAATCTTCGAATCATAAACACATGATTATGATAGACAAACAAAAGAAAATATTATCATCCGAATTTGTTAGTAATAGAAAAAAAAGAATAGAAAATTTTGTTCTTTCAACAGTTGGGTGTGTAATTTAAATTCCATGGAAAAGATTTCCATTATTTCATTCAACAATCTTTTCAGAACTTTTCATGTTCAAATAATGAGCTGAAAGAGAATAAAAGAAAGAAAAAAGAAACAACTCAACGAATAGAAAAAAATTTTCATGCTGATTCTAATTCGATTATTCATCTTACTAAGAAAAGTTCTGAATCTATCGAAGAAGTGAAGAAAAAGTTCTTGGCGAAATTTGTTCTTCAAAATGAGTTATTATCCTTTTTGTCTTTATCATGAAAAAAAAACTCGAAATGAAGATGAAACCTTATTCTTAATTAATGAATCGAGATAAAGAAAACTTTTTCTCCACCATGAACTTTTTTCTTTGTGTAAATTGCTCAGACAGGGTGGATAACGATGAATGGTAAACGATAGCTCTGAATAAGAGAATGAACTTTTATTCTGTTCTCTTATTTTTTTCCAATTTTTCTCTCACTTTCTCTCTCCCCTGTACCAATCAATTCTACTAATGAATTAAGACTCAGCTTGGAATTTTTCTCCCTATCTAACTCACTCACTCTCTTTTCCCATGGTTATCTTTTCATCTATTTCCTTCTTACCCTGAGAACATGGAACCATTTAAAGTTTTTGCAACCTTTTCTCCTTCATCGTAATTAACTCAATAAGATGATGATAATGATGAGGAGGATAATAAATGCTCTAGACCCAAGAGAGATGTGATTCTAAGAGTAGCATTTGAATAACTCACCAACTCAGAGTTTTCAATGACTCTTTTGCCATGGGGTAAACAATCGTTTCGAAAAAACTTTATTCCCTTTTTTACTCAGTTGCAATTCTAATCATCATTATCTCTTATATCATCTCAATAGAACATTTGATTTTATCTTCTCTCGTCTCGCTAAGAACTTTTTATCTCTCTCATCACCATGAGAAATTGTCTCTAGATCATGGATTTTTCTCTCTCTTTTTCACTCAGATAAGAGCAATTTCTTTTCTCTTTCATTCCTGTTTCAATTTTATCTCTTTTTTTACAATTCGAACTGTAATCTTATCATTCTCTCTTCCTTTCTCTCTCGTTTTTGTCATCATTATTGTCTCTTGTTTGTGCCCACTTTCTTGTGAGTAGTTTGACCAACTTTTTCTTACCTTTATTTCATCTTCTCAATCTTTTTATATCTCAACCAGAATCAGAGTTTTATTGGTGAAAACCCTCAAATCCTGATTACCTTCATTATCGTTATCATCATCGAGTTTAATTCTCTTTTAACTCTCTCTCTCTCTCTCCCTCTCTCCCTCTTTTCTTCCTCTATCCTCAGAGTTTAATCTCTGCTGACCTTTCAATTTCATAGAATTTTTTTCACCAAATTTTCTTATTATTCGATATGTACAATAATGGTTTTTGCTTCTATCTACTTCTTCATCCATGTTGTCCATTTCTCTCGAATTATATTTTGTCATCTAATCTCAGCTTATTATCAGAATATTTTTCAAGCTCATTCAGAACTTTTTTCCCTTCGTCTCTCTCACTCCCTTATTACACTCGGATTTTATGCATTTCATCAGATTAACATTGAATATTGAATTTTTCTATTCAAATATTAGAACTGATTCTCGATCACCTTCCTGGTCTCCACCATTTACCATTATTACTATTTATCGTACACGAATTATTACCTGAAATTGAATAAGTGTCACAAAAGAATTGAGTCAACAAAAGAAGGAAAAATAAAATTATTCGTTTCTAAAAATATTCTATTATATTCACCAAGAGACACAATTGAATATGTGTATGTTCAGGAGAAAAAAAGATCTTACACTCGATATAAATATCACCTCATTCACTTTTATTGAGTTTATTTACTTCTCATCTTTTTCCCCTGACCATCCAACTCTTTCAATGGCTACTCATGGGTCTCTTTTTTGCTTTACTTTGTTTCTTTGAAGGAAAATATCATGAATATTAAGTATAAGAATATTCCAAGAGTCGTGATTGAACTTTTTCTCCCCCTTAAACTTGAATAAGTGAAGAAGTCATGGAGACAGAGATGGACGATGTTCTCATCGAGGGAAAGTTTTCACCTTAATTTCAAGTTCTCACGAAATGAACTTGCACTTTTCTACTTATCTAATATTATCCTCGTAATAGAATGAGAGACAGAGAATTTTCTTCTGTCGAATATGATAAAAATTTATATTCCGATTGGTTTCTGAATATTCATGACTTTATTCATGAGATCATTAACTTTTATCATCCACCATTGACCCAAATCCAATGAAATATATATGAAGAAAATGTCGATAAATGAAAAAAAGGGAATCATGTTGATGAAATTGAACCAGGAAAGATTGAAACTGTTCCCTGTGATCATTTCAATTTTCCTCAGATTTATCATAATAATTATCATGATAATTTCTAATAAATTATCATGATATCAATTTACATCTAATGATCATATGATTGGATAGGAAACCGGAAATAGAAAGTAAATGATTAGCATAATATTAACAGGAAATTTTCATGGCCATTCAGTTATATTAAATGAATGTCACATGATATTTATTTGAGTTTTGATTAGTTATTACGAGAAGATTTCAATATTACTCTTGATTGTTTAACTTTACTCAATAATTAACAAATGATAAGATACAATTAATTAGACAGCTAATTGGGATTGAAGTAATTTGAAGATAATCCCATAAGAAACCACATTAATTCAAGTTAAATCAATTTAACTGATTAGTTTGCGCAGTGATAGTTATCCAACTAATTGATGTTAATCAACAATTTAGCTTAATTATACGTCCCAATTGAATTAAGCTTATATTTATTAATGTTTGTGTGTACAATTTATCAGGTATCATCAGTAATTTATCATCACAATTGTAATGATGATGATGATGATAACTATTAAGGTTTACGTGTAATCCTGAAATACTGTTGATTGAATGTATCATGAAAAATAATGTATTTCAAATGGATAAGTGTTTATATTAGATTCTTATCATTCCCTGTTATATAATATGAGTTATTATCACTATTATCAATGAGTTATTAGTGTTATCATTATTATTATCAGTCTAATTTGATTCAATCAAGTGTATTGAACATTTAATATACACTTTAAGGTGTGTTAATGTGTTTACATGGTGATGATGATGATGATGATGGTGGAGATAAAGATGAGGT